GGGTAGGCACCGTTGGGTAGCATCGGCAGTGGCTGTAATGGTGAGAACACTGCTGTGTTACAGCTGCTCTGTACAGGTTTTCTATTGAATGCTGGGAAAAAGTTTCTCCATGGAAAGTCTCTCAGTCTCTCTTTGTGTGGCCACTCATTCCTTGTGAGCCTAGGCCATTGTCTTCCTTGCCCAATCCTTCTGTAATTAAAGTGTCTGGATTAGCAGTGTTTTTTCAGTACTCTTTAAAAATAACGGTGCTTCCAGTGTGTTGCAGATGGTCATAGACCTGTGTGTGATACAAAGGTGTAGGAAAATAACAGGAAGGGTCTTACGGTGGATATTTCAAGGCTGAAATGCCCCAATGGAGACGGGACTTTTGGGAGGCTGCAGCAAAGCAAAAGCTGCGCTTTGTTTAAATGCAGAGCAGCTTTAAGGCTCACTTTGCATGCAGCGACAAGCCGGCCTGAAGGAGCAAAGCTGTCAGAGCAGAGTCTAAAAGGCTGTTTCCTCCCTGTCTGGCAGCTCCTGAGCTGGGGGGCAGGAGCATGAGCTGGCAACATGAGCTCTCTCCTACCAATTTGTAAAACCTAGAGCTCCCTTGTCATGCAGGGAGGCAAGTATCTCTACAATCCTGCTAGCCCTGCTGTAAACAACAACTGCCCTCCTGGTGTTTCACACCACCAAGGTTGGAATAAAGGCTGGACCAACGTCCCTTGGCCAGGAGCTACATCTAAACTGAGCTTGCCATGCTCTCATGGGCTTTTTTCCCTGACTCTGCAAAGTGGCCTGCTGGCAACCCTGGGAGCTTGTTGCAAAAGGGAAGGGGCTCAGCTGCAACTTCAGGAGAACCCAGGTTGGTCTCTCTCTCTCCTGGCTAGCTCTAGCTTTCCCTTAAAGCTCTCCAGCAGCCCCAAGGCAGTTCCACTCCTGTAGTGGTAAAAAGGGCTCTGGGTGCTGTCCCTGAGCACCAGACAGTGCTTATGGGCAGGGCTGTGCTGGCCCAGGACAGTAGTTTGGGATTTTTCACCACACATGTACGGCCAGTGCTGAGCTCCAGAGCAGTCCGTGTCTCTGCCCAGTGCAGCCATGATCCATCTGATCCCAGAGGCTTTGGGGTAGTGCCTCCAAGGCCATGAGCACCACTGCAGGCAGGGTTTGCCAGGGCTGCCAGCATCAGCACCCGTACTTGCTTTTATTGTTGATGGCCAGGATGGGAAATGCAATTGAGACACCTTAATGAAAAGCTAACAAAGTTGGATTTGGAGGAAGGGCTGTTCTTCTAGTAGCCTTGCTTCTCATTGTAGAATAATGTAAATGATTTGTCTGGGAATATTCCTACAGCAGTGTGCTGACCATGGGCTGAGACCCTAGGCAAATGCAGAGTAAGAGGGTCTCTGGGGACCAAGCTATTTATTTTGGATTGTACAAATAAAGAAATTATGATGATTTAATAGCAGCTGCTTCTCAGAGATATTTTGAGTTTCAGGCTCTGGTTGCATGTGTGTAACTAGCATGTTGTGGACAAGCATTTTCTAGCCCTCCCTAATTCCTGAGTCTCACTGTGAATTGGTTTAAGTAGAAAAGCTGGTGATAGTATGTCAATCTTGTTTGATGACCACACCACAAAATGCTGGAGAAAGTACAGCAGAGAGCTGGGGGACACTACTGCTGCTCAAAGAAGGCACGTTGATGCGGCCGATGGGTTTCTCTTCCAAAGCTCTGGCCATTTCTTGTCCCTCTGCGATCTCCAAAAAAGTTCCACATTTCCTACCTTCTGCCATCTGAGGGAAAAATATTGTTTGTATGTGACATGCTGGTTGAAAATGCCAGAAAGATGGACTGCTCAGGTGCAAACCTCTAGGCCTTTTTTCCTCCTGTTTAACATAATGTGGGACTTGATTTAAAAACACCAACCAAATAGAAAAAAACAAACCCCAAACCAGCTTGTATTAGAATGTTTAAAAGGGAAGAACATGGCAAATAAAGTTCAAATGACTTATTAATTTGATTTCATGCATGTCTTTTTTTCTGGATGAGACTTCCAGTGCCCAAATCCTTTTGAAATTGTAGACTTGGTCCAAAGTGTGATGGGACTCTCCTATGACCTAAATCAGTGACCCAAAGCATAATATTTTTTCTAGAACCATCTGTTTTCTCTTCTTGCCAAGGGGATTTCACAATGCCTGATTGCTCTGAATAGTTGTACGTGTGCAGGGATATGACTTGCCACAGGGAGAAATATTAACGGAACAAGGGCAGGTGGATGCTCTTGAGTTTTTTGAAGAAACTACTACCCTTTAGAAGGAGAGGGTGAAGAACCATGCAGCTGAGTAATATCTTATGCCCACAATGAATTTTTTTAAGCCTACGTATTTAAAAAGGAAACAAAACTACACTTGCGAGCTATCTGGGATAAACAGAGTAGGTACCAAGTCAGCCTGTGTTTTGACAGCCCCTTTATCAAATGTCTCTGTGATTTGGTTTGGAGCAGTGTGAAACACAGGAGTACAGATGTTGGGTGACTAATTCATGCTTCAGCTAAACTTCAATGACCATGAATGCACATCTGTTTCAACTTAGCTATCTGCTGAATGGCCTGCAACAAGGCACTCTTCTTTACAAACATCATGTTTTCATTTTTTTTACTTCATGTTTGTAAGCAGTGGCTACAGTTTGCATTTGGGAAAGTGGAAGGAACCAAGGGACTGTGATCAGAGGTGCAATGTTCAGGGCTTCTGAATCTAGCAGTAAGAACTTTTTTTGTAGCATTAGCAGGATTTCCAACACAAACAACTTTCTTTTAAATCTATCTTCCTACAAGAGATTTGCTTTTTCTTGTTCATCTTATCTGTTCTTATCACCCAGCTCTCTGACTTGCTCATTTCCTCCACTATGTATCTTTTTCTTTTCTTAATTACAAAGCTGTGGAGCGGGGGTTGGAGGCAGACCAACAGCTCCTGGTGAGAAAATGTCATTTATATAAAACTGCCTTGATAAATTCTCAGTATTATTCTTCCAGACCAATAATCCTACTACAATATCCATAAATAAAAGCAAACAGAGAAGAGGGCTTTGATCCATCATTACAATGTCTCTTTTGGAGTAGACCCCATAACATGGGTGCAGGATGCTACCTATTGCTTCCTCCAGTCAGGTGTTCACTTGTGCACAGCCTTGTCTCTGCATAATATGCCCCTGCCCTAACAAGGAGGGGCGATTTGTCATGGGGGAGAAGGAGATGGGTGGTGGTTCACCAGGTGCTTTTCTTCAAGAAGGTGTTGGGGTGTTCCTGTTTAGGAAGGTAAATGCTTCTCCTCAGGAATGCCTGCCTGTACTGTTGCAGTCAGCAATGCAGCATGTGTAGCCTGTTCTGTGGCTGGAGAGGCAGCCTGAGTCCCAGCTGTGCTGTGAAACAAGACCTCTTTCAGAAGGAAGAGGGAAGGTATTCTTAGCCATCCCATTTGGGTCCCAATCACTATGACTGGGCCCGGATGACAGCTGGGATGCTGTCACTGGGTGCCACCTTTAGTGTGAATGAGTTGGTCTGTGTCTCCCAGTGCATGCAGCTGTGAGCTGTCAGACCTGGTGTGTTTTTGCTGGAGACCAGGCAGATGGCAAATGGTAGACTGAGACCTGCCAGGCGCTGCGAAGACTGTACTTGAGGAGGCATTGACTGTGTCTCTTGCTTGTGTCCCATCTCTGATATGGGCCTGGAAATGAGATCTTTCTCTTAGAAGTTAAAACCTTTCATGGCTGAACATTTTTTTTTCCTTTCAGGAGTGTGAGTTTTTTATGAGCAAAACCAGTTCAGCTTTTTGTATTTCCCAGCAAAGTCAGGATATCGATGTACTCATTTTCCTCTCTTCATAGAAACATTTTAAGCACTGTGTGATTAAATTAACTTGGACGAGAGAAGCATAGTATAGCAAAGGCTCTCCTTGAGGAGAAAATATAGCTTTAATAACTAGGGATCTGGCTTTTATTGGCTAGTAAAATTGAGAATGTAACACTGAGCATGCTCGGGTTTTTGCGCTAAGCATCTCTTTGTACTTAAAGGCATCTGTTCTGTCGGTTTATGCACTGTTAACTAACTGCAAACCTCTTTAACAGCTTCTCTACATTGCTGGAAAATCCTGAGGCAGGACAAGGGCAAGTACAGCTGTCATGCCTGATGACTGATGTTGTAAATGGAGTGAGAAAGGCCCTTGAAGGGGAAGCCGTCAAAGCTGACCTAGTGGGAAAAGAGCACAGGGACATATTTCCTCTCGAAGCATGCCAAGAGAGCCAGGCTTCGATGCATATGGGGCTCTTTCCAGTTTTGGGAAGGTGCAAAGTGATGCGCTGTGGAAGGAATGGCTCCAAAATCATTAATTACAGACTACCCTTCTGGTGCACCTTATGACCAAGTTACTGTTAAGAATAAGGTTTTGCCAGGGCTTGAGAGCTCACTTTATGCAGATTTCTGATGTGGAGTAGATGTTTAGGAGGACTGTGAGCAAGAAAAGGCTGTGAAATACATGGATTACTGTGATTTAAAATGGCAAGTATAAAAATATTTTTTAAACATGATGAGGGGATAGTAGATTCTCTGTCCTCTCCTGCTCTTACCCTGAATTCCAGTGAGAGAATGCACTGTAATTTTGAAATGGGAAACACTTCTACCAGCTGTGAAGCAGAATGATGGACTTTAATTTGATGAGGAACAAGAAAATGCAGTTGAACAAGTAGGCTTTCAGCAAAGAGAAAGAAACATCATAGTAGCTAAAGGGGGTAGGTGTTATCCCAATGGTAGCATCTGAATCCACCCTTGTTCAGATGACTGAACTAGATAATTTCTACATGAAAAACATCAGTAATCATAACAAAATGGGCTCATTCAATGGGTCTTCTTGAGTAACAGGATAACTTGATTATATGTTTGGGAAAAATGGGAAATAAAGAGACTGGAGAGGAAAATCTGTTATCTCTGGTTGGCCTCACTTAATGCATCTTTCCTCTTGTCTCTGAAGGTTGAGGATGTCTGGGATCTGTTCAGAGGAAGTGGCCATGTCACGAGTAACTCACCCAACCACCTTCCCAGTGAGCTTTCAGCTCCTTGTGCTGGTATTGCTCTTCCATGCAGATGGCATACATGCGGAGAGCCCCAGTGAACTGCCAGGGAATGACACTGAGGAGTGTGCTGGCTCGTACATCTGCAAAAAGGGTGTGATTTTACCGATATGGGAACCCCAAGACCCCTCATTTGGTGACAAAATCGCTCGGGCAACGGTGTATTTTGTAGCGATGGTGTACATGTTCCTGGGAGTGTCTATCATAGCTGACCGCTTCATGTCCTCCATTGAAGTCATTACATCCCAAGAGCGAGAAATAACCATCAAGAAGCCCAATGGTGAGACCAGCAAAACCACTGTGAGGATCTGGAACGAGACCGTTTCCAATCTCACACTGATGGCCTTGGGCTCGTCCGCCCCCGAGATCCTCCTGTCCGTCATCGAAGTGTGCGGCCATGGCTTCACAGCGGGGGACCTGGGGCCAAGCACGATTGTGGGAAGTGCTGCCTTTAACATGTTTGTCATCATTGCAATATGTGTGTACGTGGTTCCAGATGGAGAGATAAGGAAGATCAAGCACTTGCGAGTGTTTTTTGTTACGGCAGCCTGGAGCATCTTTGCCTACACTTGGCTTTACATTATTTTATCTGTGTCTTCACCTGGGATTGTGGAGGTTTGGGAAGGCTTGCTCACCTTCTTCTTCTTCCCCATCTGTGTGGTGTTTGCCTGGATAGCTGACAGGAGGCTTTTGTTTTACAAGTATGTCTACAAGAAATACCGAGCTGGCAAGCAGAGAGGTATGATCATAGAGCATGAGGGTGATCGGCCCTCCTCCAAAGCTGATATCGAGATGGACGGAAAGGTTGCTAATTCTCATGTGGAGAACTTTTTGGATGGGACACTGGTGTTGGAAGTGGATGAGAAAGACCAGGATGATGAGGAAGCCAGAAGGGAAATGGCTCGGATCCTGAAGGAGCTGAAACAGAAGCACCCAGACAAGGAAATCGAACAGCTTATTGAGTTGGCCAACTACCAGGTCCTGAGCCAGCAACAGAAGAGCAGGGCCTTTTACCGCATCCAGGCCACTCGGCTCATGACCGGAGCTGGCAACATCTTGAAGAGACATGCTGCAGACCAGGCCCGCAAAGCCGTCAGCATGCACGAGGTCAACAGTGAGGTGACGGAAAACGATCCCATCAGCAAGCTCTATTTTGAACAGGGTACCTACCAGTGTTTGGAGAACTGTGGCACTGTAGCCCTGACCATCATTCGCCGGGGAGGTGACTTGACCAACACAGTGTACGTTGACTTCCGGACAGAGGACGGGACGGCTAATGCCGGCTCCGACTACGAGTTCACTGAAGGGACAGTGGTCTTCAAGCCTGGAGAGACCCAGAAGGAAATCCGTGTTGGCATAATCGATGATGACATATTTGAGGAGGATGAGAACTTCCTGGTACATCTCAGCAACGTCCGTGTGAGCACTGAGCCCTCGGATGAGGGCGTTCTTGAGGCCAGTCGTGTCTCAACACTTGCTTGCTTGGGATCACCATCTACTGCCACTGTCACCATTTTTGACGATGACCACGCTGGTATCTTCACCTTTGAGGAGCCAGTAACTCACATCAGTGAAAGTGTAGGAACCATGGAAGTGAAAGTGTTGCGAACCTCTGGTGCACGAGGAAATGTTATTGTGCCCTACAAAACCATTGAAGGCTCAGCCAAAGGTGGAGGAGAGGACTTCGAAGATACCTGTGGGGAGCTGGAGTTCCAGAACGATGAGATAGTGTAAGTGAAGGTTTTACTTATTCGTTACAGTCTCTGTTTGTCCTGAAATAAAATGCACTTGGCTCCCAGAGCTGCACTAGAGGTGTTTGGGTGCCAGCATATTGCAGTAAACCATGAATGGCCATATGTGCTTTGGGGAACCTGAAATTCTGCGTTCCTGCCTTGCTAACAGGCGGGAGAGTGCCTGGTCATGGGCACTCCAGCATTTAGCACCAGGGAGGTGGAACTGATGTGGGAGCCCAACCTCCTGCACCATACCCATGTGCTGAGCAGAGCTCTATAGCCTCAGCTCTGCAGTGGAGCAGAGAACAAAACCAAAATGCCTGTGACCACCCAGTCATAAGGACCTGTCTTGCAAAGGGCTTAAACTGAACATATGAATTGTGGTACCTACTTCCTCTTTCCTGTTGAGGATCATGTCATCCGGGACTGGGCCACAGTCTGTTCTACTGCTCAGGGCTTTGTTGAAGGTCACTTTACCTCCTCCTCTTCTAAAGGCTTGTAGGCCTGGGTCATTGTCATGTAGGGAAGTCACATGGTTAGGATGCAACTGCAACCACATTTGGCTGCTTGAAAGTGAAAAAGAGGCTGAAAGCTGTTGGAAGCTACTCCAGAGTGTTGCTCTGTGGATGGTGAAAAAATTAGTAGTGCTGTAGCCTTATTACATTATGTGGAGAATATAAACTAGCTCAATAAATTGTGGTAGAAAACATCTATCCTTTGGTATGTCATGAAGACATTTCCTTGCCCAGCTGGTGTTCTGGGAGGAGCAGGCATTGGGAGTCCTGTTATTCCAGCCTCAGGCTGTTCCTACAGTAAAGTCTGTGTTTGCAGATCAATCCCTGCCAACAGGGACTTATCTCTGTAGCACAAAACCACCGCATAGAACTTAAAGCAGTCACTGATAAAGGGCACTGCTGTGTTGGAGAAGAGCTAACTTTGGCCTGACTGTTATGTATTATACTACTGGTCTCTTGGGAGCTGAGACGGACTCATGACGAGTGCCAAGACTGGTCTTTGTGTTCTGTCTGTTACCTGTATCTGCTGTGTGTGCAGAGGGAGAATGAAACTTCTTCATAAAACTTCTTAAAGTAAGAGGGAGAAAAAAGGATTTATACCAGTTGGCATTTTGACTTCCCAGGAAAAACTGAGCAAGAAGTTCAGAGCTCCAGCAATCTGGAGGCCAGAACATGCATGTTGCTCACGCAAGGGTCAAGAGCACATACTTCTTGGTTCCTGAATGATAGCTGTAGTAAAAGGAAGGTAGTTATTTGATTATATTTTTTCCCATTTGGAGAGAAGCAGGGAGTTGTCTGCAGAGATGCAATGAACAAGGCTATAAAGATATCTCCCAAAGGCTCTTTAGTTTTTATCCAGGTCACTCTGCACTAGCAAAACTGGGTTACTAGTAGTTGGATTTTGACATTTGTTCTCAGTTCCCATGGGACGTGACATGTTTACATGGCAGGCCAAACACACAGCCTTTGCAACTGTGCTCACAGGGGCTGGGACTCCCCCTTATCTAGTATCTCCCACTCTGGTTAGGATCTCTGTGCTGTCCTTCATCCAAGACCCATGTCCATGCTGTCTCTTGGTGCTCAGTCTGTGATGTCAGGTTGTGCAGTGAGATGGTGATGCCTTCTCCCTGGCACTGCTGTGCCTACTGCCTCTGGTGGTGGCTTTCCCTCCACTACACTATCCACTGCTGACTTTTGCCAACGGGGCAGTAACCAAGGGGTGTGCTGGAAATGAGCTGACCACATCCTGTTGGGTCTGCTGCCTGGCCTCCTGGGGTGTGCTGGTGTGCCCTCACCAGGGCAGCAAGCCTCCTCCTTCCTCTTTTTACTGGCTGTCAGAATGTACACTGCAGGCACAAAACAGGGGAAAACAGCTTTCTTAGAAACTTCAGTGTGTTTTTTTTTTCTGTGCAGATGCCATCATATCTCTATTGCCTTTGAACTATCTCTTCCTGTAATCACAGGGAGGGACAATACATAGGAAGCACCATTTTAGGAGTTCACAGTGTGGTACAGATGCTTGGGGAATGGTGCATAAGGAGATGGTGACTACAGGGCCATGTATTGACTAAAGGGCTTTCTGCATTCAGGTGGGAGAGGACATGCACAGAATGAAACTCATAGTACATATTCCAATCTGTATCTGAAAGGCAGTAGATACTAGTCTAAAACTTAGGTGCTACAGTCCATGTTCAGGTGTTGGATGGTACAATCTGACTTGCAGAAGATTTCCTGCAGGCCCATGTTTGCTTGGGCACAAATTTAGGGCAGCCCTGCAGCACAGAGGCTGAGTGGTCCTGACACTGAGCTGCTGCTTACAGGCATCCTCCCATGGAAGAATTTGCTCCAATGGTAATAAAGAAGATATGCTAGCACAATATGTGGATTATAGAGCTACAGCCTGTTTACTCTGTCACTGCTTGATAGTGCCGTGCTTTAGCTAAATCACAGTTACGTAGAATGGTGCAATTCCCTAGCACATTGGATTCGATAGAGTTCTAAAATTTCAGGTTTTCCCATGCTCTGGTGGCCAAGAGATGTCTTTGCTGCCCTTTCTAAAGGTCTTTAGTGCCTCTTCAGCTCTGCCATTCAGGTCTGTATCAATCAGCTCGGTAAAATTGAGTAAGATGTGTTTTTCTGGGGCACTAATAACAAAGGTAGGGCAGTACAGGGAGACACGAAGATAAAGGAAAAGCATTCACAAGCCTCTATTATTAGAAGGCTGGCTTGCTGGTAAGTCCCAGTAAAATTAGAAAGCGCTGGAAGGACCCTGATCTTCTGGAGACCTTCCTCTGGTTCCAAAAAAGCCTAATTACGTAATTTGTTGTTTGTTTGCAGTGTCCAGAGAGACTTTCCCATTTGGCAGTCTGTTGATGACCCCCTTCCCAGAGTACACAAAATAGCTGTTTAACTGCTGAAGCCATGCTACTTCATTTGTTTAAACAAACATCTCATTCTGAGGCTACCAAAAAAGATATGTAGTGGAGAAGATGCTGGTTCTCCTGTGGAGCATTTTATCCCAGCTATGCCTCTTGGAGTGATGCTTTTCTGCTCCTTGTTCCTGAAACACAGCTTGTGTGTTCAGTGGATGCATATTACCAAGTGAAAGAAACAGCATTTAAATGCGTTTTGCAAAGGGGTTACCTGTGTTTTCATGACAAATTGTTCCAAGTTGTGTGGGAAAGCTTAAGATGTTTGACTGGGGTTCAGCAAGGTCAGTCTCTGTGGTGCTGCACTGGTCCCTGGGGCTCTGAGACATTGCTGTAGGACAAGGTACTATGATTTAAAGTGTAAGAGAGAGCCTTCCCTCTGGGGCCATCCTCAACAAGGTGATTCCAGCCTTGTCTTGTGTCTCCATTAACAACTAAAGCTTTCTTGATGAGAACATGGAGATGTGTAGTTGTAGGCTCTTCCTGTCCACTCGCCTACTACAGCTATTGTGATCATAGAAGAGGTCCCTGGTTCATCTAGCCAGGCTATTTTTATCTCCTGACTGAATGGTAAATAATTCAAAAGAAGTCCAGTTTCCTATATTAGAAAAGGAAGCACTCCTCTCAGCTGATATCCCATCAGTTCTTCTCCTTTCTATCTTGGAGCATCAGGAGGGGTACCTCTTCCAGAGGTGACTGCAAAGCTATATGGAAACAGTGTGTTCTTAAATATTCAAAAAGATTGTAATTTTTTTTAGAGGTAACATTCAGAGATAACTAGAGATCTATTACAATCTGCATTCCAGATGTTTGCACACACATCCTAAAAGAAAAGTTTTTACTGCATTAATGTCAATGAGGAAGATGGCACATACAGTTTTGTGGGCAACCAATCAAACTTGTATTTCACCAATGCATTCACACCTATAAATGCTTGGAAAATCTTATGTCAAATTATCTCACGGTTCATAGTATACAGTTTAGCTGTTTTTATAAGAGATGTCTGCTGCAGGTTTAGGAAGTGACAGAGATGCCCACTGAATCTGACTTGCCCAAGTCAGCTTCAGTATTTCTCTGGAAGCATAAATCTAGGAGTTGAATGCTAAGAGAGACAAAAACACCAGCTAAATCCTCTGATTTTTTTAGGGAAAGTGTCCCCAGAAATCACATAGGCTCCTCCCAAGAGCCCTTTAAAAACATCAATGTCAGTAAATATAGATTGTGGCAGGAGGGGAACCAAGTGGTACTGCTTTTTTAAGTACCCCTTTTCTTTTCCAAAAGAAGTTGGGTGAGGTATTTCTAAAGAAACAGCAAAAGCCATATCCTGACTCAGCCCTGAGACCCCTCTATGTCAGTTTTGCACCTACGGTCTGCAGCTTCAGAGAAAAAAAATAAAGCCTTCAGCATGGGCAGCCTTGCAGTAGGATGCAGTTGAAGAGCAGGGTATCTTCTGCTGTGGCAGAAACCAGGCTGAAGGGGAAGCAAACAAACATTCCCTTTTGAAGGTTTCATTGTTGGACACATTCTCCTGCTCTCTGTTGTCCCACTTTGTTTGGCTGGACCAATGTGCATCCCCTCACTGAACAGCCCCAACTTGCATAGGGTTAATATCTGGCAGCACAGTGTGAGATATCAAAAGAGACCAAACAAAGACTAAGCTCTTACTTGGCCTACTTCCAGAGCCCAGTTTGGGGTTTAGAGAGTGTTTTCCCCTCACCACTGGAAGTTTTGCCTGTCCCAGTGGGATTTGCAGGCAGTACAAATATGGCCACCTGGATCTAGAGCTTGAATCTTTGGCAGGAGCACCCAGTGCTCCTGGTCCACCCAGTAGAAGTCCAGCTTATGGAAGGTGGCCCTGGCTGCGGCCCACAGGAGGGGTCTGATTAGGTGTGTTGCTCCACGCTGGGGCATGGCATGGGGGCCTGTTTCCCTTTCCAGGGGAGTTTTGAGGAGGAAAATTCACTGGGTCTGAAATGAATCGTTGCTTTGGTTCCTGAAGGCCAAAAGTTGGTTGTTCCTTCTTAAGAAGGGAAGATGCAGCTATAACAGGGCT